AGAATTTTACACCATAAGATTCGCTAGACTTGCTGTGGTAGTGTTGCTTCTGTAAGGTTCAATCGTTATATCTTGAGAGATGAACATCCAATAAAAACTCTTGAACACCATAGCGAGGGACGAATTTTGTTTTAAGAAAATTGTGTCCAATATAAGTCTCGATTACATTTGGTTTTATTTCTAGATTTTACAATTTGTTTGTAAGTTTTCTACATTTGTAAGTATTTGTGATTCTCTGTACATGGTTTGGTTTGGTTTAACCCAAACAATTTACGTTATATTCAACTTATATATTTATATATATATAATATGATAATATATTTAGTACAATTATTACATAATACAATTATACACATCGGTTCTGCTACGTAACTTGAATTTTTCGAGCTCAAAATCAGCCCGAATTCAAAACGACGTCGTTTTGAATTTTTTTTTTCCTGACTGATGAAGAACGAAGAAGAAGAAGAAGAAAAGGAGAGGAGCAGGGCAGAGCAGAGAGAGAGAAAGAGATATCATTGCCATCATCAACCAAAAATCAAACCCACCCCAACAATCATTAACAAATTTTTTTTTTCTTTAATCATCAACAACAACCAACGATCACACACACATACACAAAAAAAATAAAAATAAATAAATAAATCAAAATCAAGGGAACGGTTTTGTGTGTATACACGGATCATTAACAAATTTTTTTTTTTCCTTTAATCATCAACAACAACCAACGATCACACAAAAAAAAAAAAATCAAAATCAAGGGGACGATTCTGTGTGTATACAGATCAATTTTTTTTTTCTTTTCATTTTCTCTCTGAAACAGAGAAGGGAAAGAAGAAAGAGAGGGGGCGTCGATCGGAGCCGGCAGCGACGACGAAGGCGTCGATCGACGGGGACGATGGCGGCGACGATTGGCGACGGTGATCAGCAGCCGAGCCCCTCTCTCTCATCGCCATCAACATCTTCCTCTCTTCTTCCTTCTCTATTTCTCGCTTTCTCTCTTTCTCCCTCTTCCTCTTCCTCTTCCTCTCTACGTTTCAAACATAAAGAAGGGAAAAAAAAAGAAAAAAAAAAAAGGAAACTACCCAAAACCGATGTCGTTTTGAGCAGTTGGGGGATTCGGAGAAAAAAAATTCGGGGGAAAAATCATTTTCCTTATACACATAAGAGATTATTCCTACATCCTCATACATGATGAATAATCAAATACCAATCTAATGGGCTTGGCCCAAATGTGCGTGGGCAACCCAACAGGCGGGCAAAGCGGGTTGATCCATTAGCTTGTCCAACAAGCCCATATTCAAGTATATATTTTTGGGTTCTGTCCATTTTCATTTTCGTTTCGTTTTGTTTTGTTTTTTTTGTTTTTTTGTTTTTTTTCATTTTCTTATATTTTTTGTCGGAATCATGGCCAGGCCAACGAGCAGATACCCCCGACCCAAGCCTCATTTGCGTCCAGCTAACCATTAAGCATTCGAGCGTAATTATGACCCTTATATGCAAAAGAGGTTATTTCGTGTTCTTGGGTATTATTTTTTTTTTAATGTGACACATAAATAAGTTTTAAAATATTGTATATATTAAATCAATGTAATAAAAATATACAATTTTTTAAAACTATCTTAATAAACTAGAGTAATTACGATCCCAATAAGAGTTATTCATATTCATGCAACTCCTAAAAATGTTGAGATAATGCACGTGGAGGGCACCCACAATGATTTTTCAATACAGGGGAGGAGTCATGAAATTTTCTTTGAGGAACAGATCATGTTCTGTGATTTGTAAGTAGGTTAATTTTTTTTTTTAAATGAATTTAAGCATAATGTTGTATCAAATAATTTAAAAAAAAAAGGTCAATTACAAACTATAATTTGTAAACCCTATGATTGATAATGTTTTTTTTTTCAATCTTAAGTGCAATTGGCCTAAAACATTAATTACACTTTCAACAATTTGTATAATTTATAGTAAATATGTTTTAGATAGCTAAATGTTAATGATGTTTGGATGGCAAAAATGGAGAAACAAAATAAAATTTTCATTTCAACTCTCTTTTATTCTGTTGTTTGGGTGCATTGAACAATAAAAATGTAACACTCCCAAGGTGGATTGAGATTACAACAAGAAGTGAAATTCTTAGGATTCGTTTGAGAAGTGAGATGGCTTTTTGACTTTTTAAAAACCATTTTAGCATGGGGTTAAAAAGTCTCGTTTGAGAAGGACTTTTTGACGTTTTTGACGTTTTGTGAAAGAAGAATATAATGATTATGGGTTGGATGGGGCTAAAAAGCCTATCTTGTCTTTTTGTACCTAAAATAGCCCCAAACCCACCAATCCATTCTTCCCAAACAAAGCTTTATTCCTTGATATCGCATATAGTTTATTCAAGAATAAGGTAAGTGGATTAGCTCACAATTTTTAAAGTTATATCATATTCATATATATATATATATATATATAGGGTTGTAATCAATCCAAACACTTGAATTTTATTGACACATACATTATTAGAATTTTGTGCTTCTATGTCATTTGGGTGTACCCTAATAGCACACTTAACAAAATTTATAATAATATTATTATTCTTAATTTTGATTCTAAGTGGTCATTTTTAAAATGCTAAGGGATTGATGTATTTGTTTTTAATTAAAATCAACGATTTCATTTTCAAAAAAACTGCGAAACTCATTCTCAACTACACAAAAATTTGTAATAAAGATACCAAAGCATGAATTGTGGTCTATTAGTGATGTAAACAACCACTTTATTCACTACAGTAATATTAGAGATACCAAATTTCCTATTAAATAAATGATTAAATGTCGCACATAGGTGCGAGATCTACAAAAATATAAGGTCCACACCTATATGAGATGTTGGATAATTTATTTGGTAGAATGGATTAAATTCCAACCGTTGCCGAAAATGGAAATCTGATGATGATCAGGGGGTCCACAATGATAGTTTATGAGGACCTCACACTGGGCCATGTATGTCCAATTCCATCATATTCAAACACATACTCTAGCAAATGTAATGAACAACATTTAAATGATTACAAATATAAATTTAACAATTATAAAATTTTGGAGAAATATTAAAAAAGGGAGAAATAAAACAAAAAATAATTTTAAATTCATGAAAATACAATACCACTTGAACAAAAAGTGCTTAAATCACCTGTAATTTTATAAGTTTGAAATTATTTTTCTCACTTCTCACCTTTTTCTGACTTTCCATCTAAAAATTTTATGTAGGAAATGAATGATACGGTGTCATTTTATTTTATTTGGATAATAGTAACATGAATTAAAATATAAACCGAACCATTAACTATAAAAGTCCAATAGATTCCTCTAGTTCTAGATCCAAATTGGAAGGTATTGTTTAGGTTTGTAGGATTTATTATGAATCCCGTTTCAATGATTTAAGCAGTTTAGTTTGTAAGATTATTCGTATATATCGTTCACATAAAAATCTAGATTGATTCGATAATTATAACATGTTTAATTTATTGCGTTTGAATATAAAAATAGTTTGTAAATATATTTTTGAACAAAAAAATATCTATTATTTTTTGTGACAAACATAATAAATTTAATAAATTCTAATTATTGAATTAATTTAATTTTTTATATAAAAATATGGGAGATTTATTAGAAAATCCCTTTTCAAGTGTTTGTATCCCAATTAGTCCATAAGCTATTCTTATATTTCAATAAGTCCTATTATTTAAACATTTGATATACTAAATCCTAATTTTCATATTTAAAATATTTTATGAATATTTCTGTCCTTACAAATATTTTTTAAACGGTTAGCAATTTAGTAATGTGAACATTCATAATTTACAATGTGAATATTCACATTGACGTATGAATGTTCACATTGATAGTGTGAACATTCATATTAACATGTTAATATTCACATTAATGATGTAAACGTTCATATTGACGGTGTGAACATTCACACTGTAAATGTGAATATTATTAAGGGTATTTTGATAATTATGTTACCCATAAGATTTATTAAAATATAAGAAAATAATATGAATTAAATAAAATATAAGTAGATAAAAAAAATATAAAAAAGTACCCCTATATACATAAAAAATAGTACAAAATAAACAATTGAAAATATTAAAATGAGCCGTGATGGATGGGGATGCCACTCTCTAATCCACAGAATTGGAGTGGATGGAAATCCTTTTAGGATAACTATTCTTTAGATCTCCTTTATACCGTTAATCACGTCCCCTCGTAACCTACCAGAGTTTAAAAAGAAAAAAAAGGGTGTTTGGCAATAAGTTTTTTTTGACTTTTTGGGTTAAAATAATATTAAAAGATAAAATAGGTTAAAATAGTTAATAAGATAAAATGTTATATCAAATTTATAATTATTTTATTTTTTTTTTCACAAACATTACATTTAACTATAAAAAAATCTAACTATCTTTTTAAATATAAAAATTTTAATTTATTAAAATAATTAAAAACTTAATTAACTCACTAAAATAGCAACTTCCCAAATGTTCACTAAAATGTAAATGTTTAGAATGGATTAACAAGTTAAATTGAAAAGCCAAACACAAAAGAGAACATGGAGAAGAGAACAACACAGAGAGACAACTAATAGGCCCGTTTGTTTTCAGAGGTAGAATGGAAGGGATTTATAGTAAGAGGATTAATAGTGATGGGATTCATAGTGAGGGGATTAAGTAAAATTGTGTTTGTTTTGATGATAGTTATTAGTGTAGAAATTGTTAAATTATTTTTATATAAAATAATAAAACAAATAAAAAAATATAAAAAATTAAACATTAATATTTATAAAAAAATTCTCAATATATAACAAATAAAAAAAATAAATTTTTTTTTAATCCCCTCACTATCTCCATTTATATCACTTCCACCATCCTAATCTCCTTCCTAACTTTACAAACAAACACAATATTAAATAATATTTCCACCATCCTCATATGGGGAAAGAGAGAGAAAGAAAGAGAGGACTATTGATTTGGGGTTGGGAGGTTATATTAATGCAAAATACAGAGAGGACCAACTCAAGTGTCCTTGTAGTCACACACCACACACAGCAGCTGTCATTCGATATTATACACACACAACACAACTTCCCCCTTCCTATTCCAGCAAATCAGTCTTTGCATCTGTCGGATCATCCTCTCTCTCTCTCTCTCTCTCTAACTTTCTCTCTCCTCCACTCCTTCCATTCCCCTTTCTCCCCTAGTTAAACACACAAATTCAGACAACCCATTCATCATTAACAACAACAACAACAATTACTAAAACCATCTCTCTCTCGCTCTCTCCCCTAGTTAAACACACATTCAGACAACCCATTCATCATTAACAACAACGACAGCAACACTTACTAAAACCATCTCTCTCTCTCTCTCTGTCCCTTTCCATGTCTAGAGGGATGGAGGTAGAGGAGAGAGAGACACAGAAAAGAACAACTTCATGACTTCATCAAGAGTTGATACATAAGAAGAAAAAAAAAATACCCATTTTGTGATTTAGACGCCATGGCACACCAGCATTACCGATCACCGTTCGGCGACACGACCTACACCAAAGTTTTCGTCGGAGGCCTTGCTTGGGAAACTCAGACCGATGTTATGCGAGGATACTTCGAGCAGTTCGGAGAAATTCTTGAGGCTGTGATCATCGCCGATAAGAACACTGGAAAGTCCAAAGGATATGGATTTGTGAGTCACAATACAAATACATTGTTAATAATTGTTTCAAATTCTACGTTAGTTGCTTTAGACGTTGATGATTTTTTTCATGAAACAGGTGACTTTTCGCGATCCCGAGTCGGCCAAGAGGGCTTGTAATGATCCGAACCCTGTCATTGATGGAAGGAGAGCGAATTGTAATATTGCTTCACTTGGACGCCCTCGACCTTCACCACCGAGAGGTATGCCTGTTCTTCATCTTCTGTCATATGATTTTTTTTATTGTTCTACTCGTATAAAATCAATTCACATAAAACATCACAAAATAGAGATAACAAATGACAACATGAGTAAGAGAATAAGATTATTGAGACACTATTTTTTATTATATTTTTTAAAAGATCGGTCCTACACCATGTGATGATGTGAGTCCGAACTGCATAAATAAAGGGGTGCGACCCTTTATCTATATTTTGTAGTATTTTTCATAAAAATATACTCCATCCGTCCCCTAATATTAGTCCCTTATTCCATTTTTCATTATCCCAAAATATTAGTCCCTCTTCAAAAATTAAGTACAAAAATAATATAAATTTTCTGTTTTGCCTTTCTTTTAAATTCATAAATAATATAAAAAGTACAATTATGACATTGATATTCTCAAAAAAATTATTATCAAAGGGTAATTTTGAAAAATCAACTTTTTTAAAGTACAATAATTGTACTACTAAAAAAAATTGGATTTCCCAAAAGGGACCATTATTTTGAGACGGAGGGAGTATATTTTTTGATTTGGATTATTTGATTGATTGTTGTTTGTTTAATGCAGGTAGAAATCAAGGTGGTAATCCATATCATGGAGGTGGATCATCATCAACACCATATAGTGGAGGATCGGCACCATTGGTTCCTGCTCCCCCAGCAGTACCACCAGCACCACAGGCACAACCACCAGTCATTTATCCATCTTATGGGTGAGTTGGTGCTTTCATATGCTGAGTGTCAGAACTAGTCCATACCCACTAATGCATAACATATGGTCCATTTTTACTTATGGCCATTGATACCCAGGACAGCTTAGATATTGTCATCTCGAAAGTGATGTCAGTTGGATCAATTTCACATTATTTTTTCAGATAATGTTAGAAATATTAATTTTTTTATCAAATAAATAATCAAATATTTCTCATAGACGGGAGATGTCAAGTGAATCATTTAATCATTTAATTATTTATTTAATAAAAAATTTGGAATCTATAACAATTTTTTTTTTTATTTTTTTCACCTGCCTTGAATTTCTGCAATAAAGGGCATTCCACATATATGGTCCGTTTGGTAGAACTGTGAAAAAGTAATTATAATTTATAGCCTAACAGTTTATAATTTATAACTATGAACATAAGATAATTTTTTACTCATAAATTAAGCTTCTCTTTCCCCACTCAAAGAATAAGTTGATTTTTGACTTACAAAAAACTATAAACTGTATTGTTAAGCTGAACCAAACACATCAAAATAGCTTAAATTAAGATAAAAACTAAAATAAGTTATAAATAAACCCTACTAAACAGGGTCATAATCCAATTGACTTCCCTCCGGTCTGGCGGGTAGGTCCATTACGGACCCCACTTTTGTAATTATAATTATTTATTTTATAGACTTGTGTATAAATTATACATTAAAAAAATTAATTGGTTTGACAATTATAATGGCATGAGTCATCAAATTTGTTTGAAAAAATAATGAATAATTTATTTTTAAATTCATATTTATTGTTCATTTTTTAATACAAATATAATAAAATTATGTGTTTACAATTATCAATTTAATTTAAATTTTTTATGTACAATCTACATATAAAAATTTAGAAAATAAACCATTTAAATTAAGACAATACTCAACATGATGAGCTCATCATGTCAGATTGCACGGCCCAACGAGAGAGAACCAGAGATAATGTTTGGTTTGTGTTTGAAGGATGTGTTTTAGAGATAAAAAGTATGAAAAGTTGTTTGGTTTGGCTTTTTTCAAAAGATGTTTTGGAAAATTATTTTGAGAGAGAGTTTTGGAAAAAGTGATTAATTTGATGTGTGTGAGAGAGAGATTTGTTTGGAAAACTTGTTTAGTTTACAAGTTTTGAGAAATTTTTTTGAGAAAATTTGTTTGGTTTGATTACTTTTAAAAACTTATTTGTAGAGAAAATTTTCCAAAAAATTTTCAGAAACACAAACCAAACGAACCCAAACTATTCTCTATAATATTTAAATAAAAAAGAGATTCAAAATTATTTTTTAAATAAAATAGCCACATTTATATACACATAAATTATAACGAGTCCTATTTTTTTTTTTTCTTCAACATATATAATTGAAGATTGTAACATTAAAAAACCAAAAGTCATACCTTGTGGTTCCTAGTCTTTTTTTCAGTGGAGTTGGTTTGGTGGGTAGATGAGTTGGCAATTGGAAGGATCGGCAATGTAAATTAAGACAATACTCAACATGATGAGCTCATCATGTCAGATTGCACGGCCCAACGAGAGAGAACTAGAGATAAACTATTCTCTATAATATTTAAATAAAAAAGAGATTCAAAATTATTTTTTAAATAAAATAGCCACATTTATATACACATAAATTATAACGAGTCCTATTTTTTTTTTTTTCTTCAACATATATAATTGAAGATTGTAACATTAAAAAACCAAAAGTCATACCTTGTGGTTCCTAGTCTTTTTTTCAGTGGAGTTGGTTTGGTGGGTAGATGAGTTGGCAATTGGAAGGATCGGCAATGCTTTGTAACGAGCTTGCCTTACAGCTTGTAAAATCCCCAAGATTATTTTTGAAAAATTAAGAATAATGTTACAGTAATTAATTTTAAATACTATATGATATGTCTGAATTAGTTTAATATTGTTCATTAGTCTCACAATTATGTGACATTAATTTCTTCCAATCCTGCCCTTTTCTTGAGTTTGCATGAACCCGTGATTCATGTTTTGCCTAAAATTCTAATGTTGCCAGGAGAATGTGGTACTAGCTCTTAATTACTATTTGTACTCGAACTGGGAATATGAGTACAACTGGTTTTGTACCATATGTATTGTTCATATATGAACTTAGATTGATTTATAATTTTTTGGATAACGTTTTAACGTGCAATGCATATCGTATATAGCTTTACTATAAAATTATATAAATTTGAATGTAAATTCGTGTAAGTCTTACATGAATGGAAAATTATATACAAGTTCATTTTATTGATCCAATTTATAGACCCATGATATGTCAATAAAATAATTAGATCTAAAAAAGTGAATATAATTTTTGAGTCTAAATAACAATGTTTTATGTAAATTTATGTTCAACTTATATGAATTTATATTTAATTTATATATATTTTTGGTATCGTATGGTATGGTTGCAGAATTATCCACAACTTTATCTACAATGCATGGAAATAGTCCAACTTTTTCTCCCATTTAAATATTTTCATTATTCATGCATTGACTGGGAAAATATGACCACAATATTGTCCATATACATAATATATGCAAACACAACTAGAAATTAAGAAGCACCAAAATATCAGAAAATGCTGTTTATTGTTAGGTAGTAGTGGCTGCAGTAGGTAGATTGAGAGGTCGTTCCACCCCCCTAGTCCCCGAATATGGGTAAAAAATTCTCATATATTGAGAAATAGTGAATACTAATCACTTCACTGTGAATTTAATTTTTAGACTAAAGATATTTTTGATGTTTTACAGTTTTGTTATTTTGTTTTAATACTATATATTTATAATTTAAGTATTATATTTTTTAGACCCAGTAATGTATAAGAGAGATAATTAGTTAATAATTAAAAAAATATAAGAGAGAGATTTATCTTAAATATTTTAACAGATTATCACATCACTATGTTTGAAAAGTGAGTCTAATTTTGAAAAGTGAGCAATAGTAAATATTTTAACACTACTTCTGTCTTTATTGTATTGACCGTGAACATAATATTATTCTATTGACTTGATTTTGATTCAGATTTTATTTCTATTTATGTTTTATGTCACTGATTCTAACTAAGGGTCCGTTTGGGAAGGGCTTTTCGGGGCTTTTTTAGCTATTTTAGTCACAAAAAATAAAATAGGCTATTTTAGTCACAAAAAATAAAACATCACATCCAACCCATAATCATTACACTCTTCTCTCATAAAAAAAGTCAAAAAAGCCAAAAAGCCAAAAAGTCCTTCCCAAACCAAGCTTTTTAGCCCAGGCTAAAATAATCAAAAAAGCCAAAAAGTTAAAAAGCCAACCCACTTCCCAAACGGAGGCTAAATGTACAGGATATCAGGTTTCGTTTAGAAAGTAGATTCACTTTTTGATTTTTTTTTTTTGATTATTTTAACTTGAAATTAAAAAATTTATTTAAGTTGAATTTTTTAATTTTTTTAATTTTTATGAGAAAAAAATGATATTTTATTTTTTTAATTTTTTTATTTATTTTATTTTTTTATAATTAAATTAACCCATCCTTAAAAAAGTCTCCTGTCAAACGAGAGTTATGCTCCACTGACCTTACATACTCAAATAATAATAATAATTATTATAATATATATATATATATATATATATATATGTATCAAAAGAGAAATTAACGACATGAAAACCATCAAAAATTCAACAATAGTTATAAATATGCATACCTCATAGTTGTATTTCTCCTACAAAAAAAACTCCAGCAATCATATACCTCTAATAAACACATTATCTACACATATCATAATTGAGCTTGGTTTTAACTATTTCAATATCTTTTCCAAGAATAATAAATGTTACACAAGTTTCCATCACAAACACAGTTTAATAATAGAGTTCTAAACGAAACTCTACTTAGTTGGCAGTTAAAAAAAAGAAAAGAAAAGAAAAAACTAAAACATCACATTAATGCCAACGTAGTACAATAGTTTGGAAAATGCTGTGACATTGGGCTTGACTTGTTGGGTTTATTTGTTCTTGACTTCATGTTTGGCTCACAATTGGCACATACGCTACCACTCACTCAGATCTATGTTGAATTCTATTAGGAGATGTTTTGAAAAATTAGTAAAAGGTTAGTTTTTTAATTTTTTTTAATTTATTTTATTTTTTTGTGAATAAGTTATATGTGAGGTGATGTAACTCAAAATGAGTAAAAAATTAGAAACTAACTTTTTATCAACTTTCAAAAAAAACACGCTGTCTCTTTGTGAGTGAGTGTATATACTTGATCATATTTTGGCCTCGTTTGGGAAGTGGCTATTTTAGTAGGCTATTTGGCTTTTTGGCTATTTTAGTGGCTATTTTAGTTTTTGTGTTTGGGAAGATCATGTTTGGCTCACAATTGGCACATACGCTACCACTCACTCAGATCTATGTTGAATTGTATTTCTTGATGTTTTGAAAAATTAGTAAAAAATTAATTTTTTTATTTTTTTTTAATTTATTTTATCTTTTTTTGAGTAAATTATATGTGAGGTGATGTAACTCAAAAATAAATAAAAAATTAGAAATTGACTTTTTATTAACTTCAAAAAAAAAACACGCTATCTCTATGTGAGTGAGTGTATATACTTGATCATATTTTATATTTCAAAAATGATAGAGAGTTTTAGAATTAGGGCTCTAACCTCAGTTTTAGTGATGTGAAAATTTAAAAGAAAAAAAAAAAAAAATTTAAAGATCAAAACATCATATTACATGAACCTACTATAAATTAGAACTCTGTAAAACTCATAAATTAAAACTCTCGATCTTTTTTTTTTTTTTTTAATTTATTCTCACCATAAACAACAATGTAGACTATAGTCCATGTCAATTGATTGAGGTGTAGGACCCAATTGTGTCAAAACATATAGTAATAGTTTTTCATAACTATCATAGCCTTCGTTTGGGTGGGGTTGGTTTTATAGTTTTTGGTTTTTTTATTTTTTTTTGATTATTTTAGTTTATGGTTAAAAAATCTCGTTTAGAATGAGTTTTTTAGTTTTTTAATTTTTGTGAGAGAAAAAATAAAATAATTATAATTTCAATGTGTTATTGTCATATTAATTTTTTAATTTATTTTATTTTTTTGTGATTAAAATAACCAAACAAACCTTTGCCAAACATAGCCATTGTAAATTATTTACAGCCTTTTTGACATTATCACACGCACCATGACAGGTTAAGGTTAGGTTTGGTATCCCTTAAAAAAGTAAAAAAGTTACTATCTTATTTAAGTTATATTTTAACTTTTTAATTTTTGTGAGAGAAAAAATAAAATAATTATAATTTCAATGTGTTATTGTCATATTAATTTTTTAATTTATGTTGTTTTTTTGTGATTAAAATAACCAAACAAACCTTTGCCAAACATAGCCATTGTAAATTATTTACAGCCTTTTTGACATTATCACACGCACCATGACAGGTTAAGGTTAGGTTTGGTATCCCTTAAAAAAGTAAAAAAGTTACTATCTTATTTAAGTTATATTACCTTTCTACCACATCACTTTAAATTCAACTCATATTTCATAAAAAGTAAAAAAGTACACTTATTTAGAACATTCCAAACAACCCCTAAATATTCAATGTTTTCAAATCTACTTATTTTTCTATTTTAAATCATTTGTAATTATTAATTATTAAATTATTTCTTGAAATGAACCACATATTGAATAGTTGCGCCATAACTATAATAACATGTAAAGTTGTTATCATTCAGCATTAATTTTTACTATTTACTTGTTTTGCTAAATAATTTTAATGGATATCTACTACATTGCAGGTACGCAACCTACCCACCTGATTATGGATACCCCCAAGTAACTCTCTCTCTCTCTCTCTCTCTCTCTCTCTCTCTCTCTCTCAAAAGTCACTTTTTACTAACTTCCCAAATCATTTGTCTAAAAAAGCCAAAAGCTTGGTTAAAAGCCAAAAAGTCACTTTTTACCATCTTCCCAAAACAACCCATAATATACGTATAAGAAAAATACAATATATAAACAAATCAAATTTGATTAAGAAGTTATATTTTAATTTTTTTAATTAAAAATTAATTTGATAAAAAGAAATATCAAAAAGGAAAATTTTCAATCTTTAAAAATTATTTCCATCTCAAAGAAGAAAAAATCATACAAATATATATATATATATATATATATATATTTTTTTTTTTCTAATTTCTTTACCAAATTAGTTTTTGAATTTTTTTTAGAAAACAATTCTGAAAGCTCAACCAATCATAATATATTTGTACAATAATTTTTTCAAAAATTTAAAGTAGGTGTTACAATAAATGCGGTGGGTAAAAAATAAATAAATAATTATTAAAGGAGTGTATTTGGAAGTTCTTAAAAAAATGTGTTTACCTATTGCATTAAACTTTTGTTTATTAATTTTAGGAAAATTTACTCATAAGTCCTAATTTTTGAAAAGTTGAATCATTTAGTCCTAAAAGTTTTCTTATGCTCCATTTAGTCCCATTTGCACATCAATCTAATGTTTGAAACATTAATCTGATGTTCGAAACATTAATCTGAAGTTCAAAATCTAATGTTCGAAACATTAATCTGATGTTTGAAACATTGTAATGGGACCTTTCAGTCTATAAGAAAATTTTTAGGACTAAACAGTGTATAAGTTATTAATTTGGGATTTATTAGTGCATCCCCCATTATTTTTTTAATATACGTATGATAATAACTAGGAAAAATTACAAATCAGTGTAACTTCACAAAAATATTTACAAATTTATAAAAATATGTATAACTTTAATTATTAAAGTTGATAAAGTTTATCACTAAGGCTCTGTTTGTTTTAACCTAAAATATTTTTATCTGTCGTTTGGTTAAACAAAAATTAAGTAAAACAGTTTTTAAAGAAAATATTTTTGTTTTATTTTCCAAAAAATTAATTATTATTAAAAATTTTGTAGTTCAATTATTACAAAATTAATTCTCAATCACTATATTTTCAACATATTTAGCATTTTTAAATAAATATCTTAGCTAAGTCCTTGGGTTTGGCGAAGTAGTCTTGTAGCTACATCTTAGAGTGTAACGAGGGGAAGGTCAAAGGTTCGAGGTGACAGAACAACGACGACTCCTTTAGTTGTAATATAACTTCCTTAATAAATTAACATCCTACAAAAAATAAAAAATAAAAATAAAAATTCTTAGCTCACTATAAAAAGTTGTAGATGACACTTTATTGAACTAAAATTCATTTTTTTGCCAATAAAATATTTTTATTTCAAAATTCAACTAAACGTCAAAAAACAAAAATAAAAATATTTTTTCTATGTAAAATCAAATTATAAGAAAAATAATTTTTTTGTGTAAAAAATTTTACGTCGGAATAGGCAAAGCCTAATTTGAAATTATTTTCCTTAATAACTATTATTAGATACAAACAAATGTGATGATAATATTCTGTTCAAAACAAAAATAATAATAATATGATAATAATATTAATATTAAATTGGGCAGGCATTTTATAACTCACAATTACTTCAGCAACAACAATACTACCACCATCACCAACAACTGTACGGAACATCATCACCATCAACAATGGGGTCTCCATATTTTTATGGATATTCTACAAGGGGAACACTTTCTGCAGCACCACAGGCGCAACGTATCCCAGGACCATCTTATCTTTACTATCCTACGCAGATGGAGGGGTCCTTCTCCACTTTTCCAAACCCTCCTCCACCTCCTCAGCTAGTTCTACCCTTACGACCAACTACTACAAGGCATCCCCCCCTTCCCTCTCCCTCTCCCTCTGGTAATTTACTCTCTTCCTTTCCTTCTATATATACATTCATACGTTATGTCAACCACTTTCACACACACACACACATATTAGTGTGTAACATATATATCTGTTATGTATTTTTATAATAAATGTTATGATAAATATTACGTTTTATTTTTTTAGAAGTTACAATAATTTGTGATTTATAAATAAAATTATAATTTTTTTTTGATAATGTTACCTATTTTTGTGATAATATTATACATTTTTGTAGCTAAATATTTTTTAATCATAAAATGTGTAATAATGCCACAAAATACGTAATATTACCAAAAAGATACGTAATTTTATTTCTCAACTTTTATATCTCAACCACAAATTTTTTTAACTTTTTATTTTATTTTTTTTATTTTTGACGAAAATCAATGATTAGTTGTTAAATTAACACATTAGGAGAGTTAAAGCTCACACCTATATACCTTGCAAGAAAATCTTATCTTCTCATTCTATTCTTAAGAGTGAAACCCAAGATCTCTACCTTAGGAGGGACTTGGTGGCCAACGGCAGGCTAGAGCCCCTTGGTTAAATTATTGTAGCTCTTGCCAATAAAATAGGTAATATTTATCACAAAAACACATAACACATTCTATAAAAACACAAATAAAGTATATATGATACACTCCTTTGGAAGGGTATGTTAACAATTTTACATACTCAGAATTTTTTTTATCAAAATTTTACTCAAAATTTTAACGAGTAGATGCAATTTATTTTAGATGCAGATTGCCATTCAAAAACTAAATCTGGATCACATATTAATTTCGGGGCAAATTTTTGAATTTAAACTCTGATTTTTTAACTTTTCTAATATATGTTTATATATGACTGTATTTATGTCAATTGCATATTGAGATAATATTAGTAGCATTAGATTATTCAAGAGCATTAGATAATATTATATACGTAACACTCTTTATAGATAAAAAATTATAATATGATTATTATTCTTTATCTACTGACTACTTAAAGTAAAGGTTAGTTTGACATGTCTTAAAAAAGTATATTTTTTATCTTTTTATTAAAAGGTGTGTAGAAAAATAGAGAGATAATGTAATAAAAAAAAGATAAAACGATAAAAAGATGGATTATATAGTGTACCCTAAACCAACCCTAAATATTATCTACCTGCAAAATTTTTAATTATATGATGATATATGAAATTTTGAGACTATTGATTAATGAAAATATTACATACAAGTGAAATGTCAGAATGAATTTTTTTATTAATATTAATAATTGTAATTATAATTTTCATAATTTTATAAATTTTTTCCTGTGCTTTTCTCTTGATTAATTACCTGTCATGGATGTACGGATTGATTATGTGTTGTGACATGCACCATGGGGGGCCCTCATGGGCAAGCAGTAGCATGTGACATTGAGCTGTCTGGTATGTTGTGTAATCAACCAGGAAAAAGTTAGGAATGATTTATCTTTGGATTACCTTAATCAGTATATAGTATTTTATTTTAAATGTAATTTAAGAGTCATAAAATTTTCATGATTATTTTCATGAAAATTTTTTCATGATACTTAATATTACTGGATCGATCATGGGTTAATGAAAAGGAGTTACGCTAGTATTCTAAATAATTTATTAAAATTTTTATTAATTTTTTATATAGGTATAGAATTTACACATGTAAGGACGTGTAGATTCTATCTTCATATAAAAGATTGAGGCTCCGTTTGGGAAGATAGGTTATGGGCTTTTTTGATTATTTTAATCATAAAAGATAAAATAGACTATTTTAGCCACAACAAACAAAATATCACATCTAATCCATAATCATTATACTATTCTCTCACAAAAAAAGTCAAAAATATCAAAAAATCAAAAAGTCCTTCCCAAACCAAGCTTTTAGCTTAAGCTAAAATAACCAAAAAAGCTAAAAAGTCAAAAAGCCAACCCACTTCCCAAACCAACCCTGAATAAAAAATTGAGAAGATGGTTTGTGACTATTTTAGTCACAAAAGACAAAATAAGTTATTTTAGTCACAACAAACAAAATATCACATCCAATTCATAATCATTATACTATTCTCTTACAAAAAAATCAAAAAAGTCAAAAAGTCAAAAGTCCTTCCCAAACCAAGCTTTTCAGCCCAGGCTAAAATAACCAAAAAGCCAAAAAGCTAAAAAATCAACCCACTTCCCAAACGAAACCTAGTATATTTGGGAAGTTAGGTTTGAGAATTTTTTGGTTAAAATAGTCATAAAAAATAAAATAGATTTTTTAGTTTAATAAGACAAAATATCACATTTAACTTATGATTATTATATTCTTTCTTTCATAAAAAAATAAAAGAAAAAGCTAAAAAAACCTAAAATCTTTCCCAAATTAGGCTTTCTAGCCCCAAATTAAAATAGTTAAAAAAGTCAAAAAGTTAAAAAGCCAATCTACTTCCCAAACAAAGCCATAATAAATTATTTAGGCTTCGTTTGAGAAGCTAAGTTTGGGTTTTTTTTTAAAACTATTTTAGTTACAAAAAATAAAATAGGCTTTTTTAATCCAATAAGATAAAACATCACATCCAACACATAATCATTATATTCTTTCTCTCACAAAAAACTCAAAAAAATTAAAAACTATTTCTAAACGAGATTTTTTAATTTCAAACTAAAATAACCAAAAAAATTAAAAAGTCAAAAAATCAATCCACTCCCTTCGAATTCATAAATGAAAGTTCTGCCAGACGGAGGGGAAAGTGTAAACTAACAGTCTGTTTGACAAAGATCTTTTTAAAATCTCTCCTCACTATTAATGTCCCTTCAATTTGATCTATAAAAAAAAAATTAAAAAAATCTTTTAATTGCACAGCGTAAATTTTTTTTTTTTATCGAAATATAACAATTTCCAGACACTTCTAAGAGTGATTTAAATATGGAGAATTCTATCATATAAATCACTTATCACTATTAATATTTGGTGTACGAGCCCGAAATGATCTTCTCGTATAATCCTGTTGATCAATTTTGCACTCCTCCAAACAACGTTGCTTTACCACCTGAAAACACAAACATGAGCTAACTGGCGGGTGTGTGCCGGAAACCCCTCCGATGCCTAAGTCAGCAATTAGATAATAGACAATAAGCTCTGTGTATTCTAGAGTAAGAATTGGGATACCTGTACATAAGTCTGGTCATGAGCTTTTATAGACTTTACTTGGCACAATCCTAGTAGGATTCTAGCTCTCCTTATAACACCCTACTCACTACCAACCAAGTGAGATGATTTGCACAATCCTAGTAGGACTTTACTCTCCTTAGCAGAGTCCTCCTAAGAGTCACACTCCTACTCAGTACCAACCAAGTGAGATGGTTTTGCATAATCCTAGTAGGACTCTACTCTCCTTAGCAGAGTCCTCATAGGAGTCTCAAGCCCAAGGATAATGATTATCCCTAAAACACCCTCATCACTACAAGCCAAGTGAGATGGCTGAACCCTTATCTCGGCTGACATTGCGGTCAACTGTGCTCACACAACTCGGTGATACTTTAAGCACCACTGTCAGTCTTGACTCTGAGATGACGCCCTACAGAGCTATCCTTTAGCTCGGTTCTCCCTCCACTGATACCTCGGTCCAAGATAGCTAGGTCAGGTCACTGGTAGCCCATCTCTGACGACCCGATGTTTAGATGATCAAGGACCGTGCTACATAAATAATTACATCGGCCCATAGTTTGGCCCAAACCCGAAATATGAGATGTCTTCTTGGCCTAAGATCGAGCTACACCGGCCCTTATCTCGGTCCATTATGCGGCCCAACTCTCAAAGAAGACTCTTCTTAGCTCGGCCCAATTTGTTTACAAATTACCTTCTCAATTGCCCCTTAATTCCATCTGCGTAACATGATTGAGATTATTTTTCCTCCAACTGAGCTAAGAACGCCCTACTTTGCCGAGCTAAAAAGTTGTTTGGTTTCATAGCTCGTTCGGCCCCAATAAGCCTTGTCAGTTGCTCAACATGTTCTTCCACTAATTTGGCACGATGTCATTCTCAAGATACGTGGTGTGCCCCCATTATCCTCGTTCTTTTGTTACAACCGTCATGTACCTTCAAAATTTTGAACAACTTCGCCTTTTTGCTTTCAATATTTATATCCTTCGAGTTCGCAATCATATGAGAAGGCGTTCTTTTAGTGTAACCGAGCTACATGTCTCACATTTTGTAATCATCTTCCAATTAATGAAAAATTTCGATCTCTTTGCTCGGTTACTGTGTTTCTTTTTCACTGTTTTGTATCATTCCGACCTCATGCCTAGCCAAACTAATTAGCTTGGCCTTACCTGATCTTGCCAACCTTCTTTGGCCGAGATACGCATCTCGGCTGAAGAATCCAAAAAACTTCTTGGTCAAACCTGCCAACCTACTTTGGCTGAGGTAACTGTCATCCCGGCCAAAGAGTGCAAAAGTTTTGTTGGTCATACCTGCCAACTTCCTGTAGCCTAGATCTTTATCTCGGCTTAGGAGAGCTAAGGCCAAGTTTGGCATGAGACAAAAAAGATAAAAAGTCAAAAAGTCACTATCCTATTTAAGTCACATCATCTTATTTAAGTCATATCACCTCTCTAGCACATCACTTCAAACCCAACCCAAACCCAACCCATATTTCATAAAAAGTCAAAAAGTGCACTTATTTAGTCTTTCCAAACTAGGCCTAAATGTTGGTTATTCCTGCCAACCTTCTTCAGCCTAGATCCTTATCTCGGCTAAAGAGAGCTAAATATTGGTCATACCTGCCAACTTCCTGCAGCCTAGATCCTTATCCTGGCTTAGGAATGAAAAAAGTGTTGGTCAAACCTGCCAACTTTTTTTGTTGCCCCCCAGTTGGGCAAAGACTTATTTAGAAAGAGTTGGTCAAACCTGTCAACCCACTTTAGTCGAGGTAACTGTCATCCCGGCTAAAGAGTGCAAAAGTTTTGTTGGTCAAACCTGCTAACCTTCTTGAGCCTAGATCCTTATCTCGGCTGAAGAATGAAAAAGTGTTGGTTATTCCCGCCAACCTTCTTCAGCCTAGATCCTGATCTCGGCTGAAGAGAGCTAAATGTTGGTTATTCCTGCCAACCTTCTTCAGCCTAGATCCTGATATCGGCTGAAGGGAGCTCAATGTGGGTTATTCCGGCCAATGTTCTTCAGTCTAGATCTTGATCTCGGTTGAAGGGAGTTCAGTGTTGGTTATTCCGGCCAACGTTCTTCAGCCTAGATCCTTATCTCGGCTGAAGAGAGTTAAATGTTTGGTTATTCCCGTCAAACTTCTTAATTGCCCCCCAGTCGGGCAAAGACTTTTGCGTGGTCGGTCCTACTTGTCAACCGTGTTAACTCTCGCCAAAGGCTTTTTGTCTGGTATCGCTGTTGTGCTGGACTCTTCCTCGGTGCGCGCCCTATCTTCCTCTACTCGGATGTATTGGTGCACTCTCTTCATCACGGCTTCCATAGTAAGGGGTGGCGTCATTGTCATTGAATCCCTCAACTTATTGCCGGTCGGCAAACCTCGTTTGTACTATACGATAGCTAGGTTTGTGGGACAATCTCTAATCTGATTAAAAGTCTCCCAATACCGGTTATTGTAAGACCTCAATGTTTCCTTTTCGCCCATATCTATGGAGAGAAGCTGGTCAATCTCTACAGGTGTCTTAGTGTTTGTTCTGAATCTAGTCACAAATGCCTCTGCTAGTTGCGCCCATGATGCTATGCTACCTTCTGGCAACCTTTCAAACCATGTTAGACCCAGGTCACCAAGGCTGGAAGGAAATATGATACACATTAGAGTCTCGTTTCGCCGATACACCGCCATAACCTAGCGAAAGTGGCTCAAGTGCATGTAGGGGTCCGACTTTCTCTCATTAATAGTGAATTTAGGGAATAGGAATCTGGAAAAGCTCACCAACGGAGTGTTAAAAGAAGGAAATCTCGAGAGAGAAAATGGATGATTGTTTTTTTTTTATAATGAAAAAAAAAATAATAATAATAAATAAATAAATAAAATAAAATAAAAGAAAGAAAGTGGAGCAACGTGGGTGAGGTGCAAAAGGTGAAGATTGACTGTGCAAAAGTGGACATGGTGGGAGCTTTAGGTAATATATTATAATAAACATATATATATATTAAAAGAAAAGAAAGTTGAGTGGGGTTGGTGTTGGTGAAAGCAAGATCGAGATCTCGTTGAAAGGTTTGAAGCTTATGAATGTGGAAAGGGCTTTTGCCGAGAAGCACTATGAGGATTTGTCAGCAAAGCCATTCTTCAATGGCCTGGTTGAGTAGATTGTCTCTGGTTCTGTGGTTGCCATGGTATGGGAAGGTAAAGATGTGGTTGCCACGGGACGGAAGATTATTGGTGCCACTAACCCATCAGAGTCGGCTCCTGGCACAATCCGTGGTGATTTTGCTGTTGAGATTGGCAGGAATGTCATTCATGGAAGTGATTCGGTTGAGAGTGCTAGGAAAGAAATTGCATTGTGGTTCCCTGATGGCACTGTAAACTGGCAGAGTAGCCTTCATCCACGGATAGCCCCACTCCAAATCACATTGCCCATTACCCATACAATATCACCATTCCACAATTTTGAAGTGAATAGTGCTGGTGGGCCCTACCACTAGCAAAAGCAATTTATAATAAATACCAACAGCTCACTCCTCAAAAGAAATTTATAATAATTTATCTTTCTTTAAGAATTTATGTATTATTGATTGATATCTTGATTGATAGATTACAAGATTGATTAATTACAATTCCTATACAATCTATATATAGAAGAAAATGTGGTAGTAGGTGTAGTGGAGGTGATAGTGGGTTAGGTGAAGTGGAGTGTGTAGTGGAGTAGAGGTAGGTGAAGTGGAGTGTGTAGTGGAGTAGAGGTAGGTGAAGTGGAGTGTGTAGTGGAGTAGAGGTAGGTGAAGTGGAGTGTGTAGTGGAGTAGAGGTAGGTGAAGTGGAGTGTGTAGTGGAGTAGAGGTAGGTGAAGCATACATACATACATACATACATACATGAAATCACAGGAAGCTCACCGTGCCTGGAGCGGCGCAAAGAACCCTCTTTTGATTATCCATTTCAAAGACCAATTTCGCATCCTCAGACTCATGTACCGAAACTTTCTCATCCATAACCATAAAGAACTTATCTCCAGCCAAATCAAACTTCACAATCGACGCTTCCTTCCCCAACCTACAAAAAAAGCTCCTTCTCCCTCTAACCAAATTCAACATCGCCAAACAAGAGTCTCTCCCAACCGTCAATGCTAACTTCCCCGAAGGGTGCACAGAGAGGTCATTCACTCCCTTCTTATGAGCATGAACAGTCTTGAGGTGTACGAAAGGGTCGGCGTCGTAGATGCAAACGGCGCCGTCGTCGGACGCGGAGATGAGGTTGCGGGGGAAGGAGAGGGACGGCGGAGTGAAGAAGGAGAGGGCGGTGACGGTGGCGGAGTGGTCGTTGAGGGAGCCGATTTCGGAGGTGGTGGAGAGGTCGTAGATTTTGATGGTGTCGTCGGCGCCGCCGGAGGCCGCGGCGGAGCCGGAAACGGCGACTGACCTGATGGGGGAGATGTGGGAGGGGAAGGTGAAGAGTGGGGTTAGGGTTAGGGTTTCTTGGGAGTGTTTTAGGGTTTTGAGCTTGAATCCCCATATGAATCGCTCGTACGAGCCTGCCACCAGACTCATCTTCGCCTCTCTGTCTCTCTCTCTCTCTCTGTATTTATATGAACTCTCTCTATATATATGTGTGTATTGATTCTGTAAAAACCTAGACTGGTGAAGAAAGTGAGGGTTAGGGTTTTAGGCGATTGAGAATGAAGACGACGAAGGTAGAAGAACGGGACGAGTATTATTGAGTAGCATGGGCCCAATTGGTCAGACGGCCCAAAATTTTAATGGGTTTGCGGCAAGGTCTTGTTTGGTTGTCTATATTTTAGAAGTAAGCATAATTTATGCTTATAAAAAATAAAATTAAACAATAAAAAATACACATATAAATATGTATATCTATAAATTTTATTGTATATTTATGGATGGGTCACGTTGTGTTGGTGGAAATTATTTTAAGTTAAAAATTGATAATTAAAAAGTAAAAATAAAAAATATTTCTTATTTAGGTTTTATTTAAAAATATGTTATTTTAATAACTTTTTACGAAAAGATTTAGAGAAAAATAGAGAGTGATGTGATAATTTATAATGACTTTTTAACTTTTTTAACTAAAATATATAATTGACAAATGAGACATCAGTTTCTGAAAAATTAGTTTTTTAACTTGTTTAAGTTATTTCTACTAAATAAATTATAAATAAAAGTTACGTCAAACAATCTGACACAAACTCTCTTATTAAAAAAAAAAGTTATAAGCTGCTTCTATAAGTCCTAGCAAACACCTCACTATTATATCTTGAAATACAAACCAAACAAACCTTAAAAAATTGGTCCAAACTCAACCTATCTATATAATAAGGAAGCTCAGAATTTTGTCCAGGGATGGGACTTTTGTCCCTTTGTCCAAAATTTAACCATTAGATTGATTTCATCTGAGGGTTGAAAACATCTCACTCTCATCTCTTTCATAGCTTTCTCCTTCAACACACACACACTCTCTCTCACACACTCTCTCTCTCTCTCTCTCTCTCTCTCGCTCTCGAAGAACTAGAACAAACTCCGACGAACTCGTTCGATTTGTTTATTGGAGTCAAGAGTTGACTCAGAAGCCTTGGAAACTCACCGCCATAGCTATAATAGTAGCAGTAGCTTCATTACCAGAAGCAACCTGGCCTTTTGTTGAGAGTGAGAGAGGTTTGTTTTTTTTTTTTTTGTTTTCTTTTTAAAAATACTCACCAAAACGACGTCGTTTTGGTGAGTTTTATTCTCAGCCGTCGGATTAAGCACTTTAGGAGATCACTCTAGGGGCTTAACTCTAGAGGATCCTTACGCAGGCTTTTTAGCCTCAAGTTAAAATAGCTAAAAAAATCAAAAAGTTAAAAAGCCAACCTACTTCCCAAACGAAACCATAATAAATTATTTAGGCTTCATTTGAGAAGCCAAGTTTGGGTTTTTTTTTAAACTATTTTAGTTACAAAAAATAAAATAAGCTTTTTTAATCCAATAAGACAAAACATCACATCTAACACATAATCATTATATTCTTTCTCCCACAAAAAACTCAAAAAAATTTAAAACTATTTCCAAACGAGATTTTTTAATCTCAAACTAAAATAACCAAAAAAATTAAAAGTCAAAAAATCAATCCACTCCCTTAGAATTCATAAATGAAAGTTCTGCTAGACGGAGGGGAAAGTGTAAACTAACAGTCTGTTTGACAAAGATCTTTTTAAAATCTCTCATCACTATTAATGTCCCTTCAATTTGATCTATAAAAAAAAAATAAAAAAAATCTTTTAATTGCACAGCATAAATTTTTTTTTTTATCAAAATATAACAATTTCCAGACACTTCTAAGAGTGATTTAAATATGGAGAATTCTATCATATACATCACTTATCACTATTAATATTTGGTGTACGAGCATGAAATGATCTTCTCGTATAATCCTGTTGATCAATTTTGCACTCATCCAAACAACGTTGCTTTGCCACCTGAAAACACAAACGTGAGCTAACTGGCGGGTGTGTGCCGGAAACCCCTCCGATGCCTAAATCAGCAACTAGACAATAGACAATAAGTTCTGTGTATTCTAGAGTAAGAATTGGGATATCTGTACATAGGTCTGGTCATGAGCTTTTATAGACTTTACTTGGCACAATCCTAGTAGGATTCCAACTCTCCTTATAACACCCTACTCACTACCAACCAAGTGAGATGGTTTGCACAATCCTAGTAGGACTTTACTCTCCTTAGCAGAGTCCTCTTAGGAGTCACACTTCTACTCACTACCAACCAAGTGAGATGGTTTTGTATAATCTTAGTAGGACTCTACTCTCCTTAGCAGAGTCCTCATAGGAGTCTCAAGCCCAAGGATAATGATTATCCCTAAAACACCCCCCATCATTACAAGCCAAGTGAGATGGCTGAACCCTTACCTCGGCTGACATTGCGGTCAACCGTGCTCATTCAGCTCGGTGATACTTTAAGCACCACTGTCAGTCTTGACTCTGAGATGACACCCTACAAAGCTATCCTTTAGCTCGGTTCTCCCTCCACTGATACCTCGGTCCAGGATAGCTAGGTCAGGTCACTGGTAGCCCATCTCTGACCGACCCGATGTTTAGATGATCAAGGACCGTGCTACATAAATAATTACATCGGCCCATAGTTCGGCCCAAACCCGAAATATGAGATGTTTTCTTAGCCTAAGATCGAGTTACACCAGCCCTTATCTCGGTCCATTACGCGGCCCAACTCCCAAAGAAGACTCTTCCTAGCTCGGCCCAATTTGTTTACAAATTACCATCTCAATTGCCCCTCTAATTCCATCTGCGTAGCATGATTGAGATTATTTTTCCTCCAGCTGAGCTAAGAACGCCCCACTTTGCCGAGCTAAAAAGTTGTTCGGTTTCATAGCTCGTTCAGCCCCAATAAGCCTTGTCAGTTGCTCAACATGTTCTTCCACTAATCTGGCACGACGCCATTCTCAAGATACGTGGTGTGCCCCCATTATCCTCGTTCTCTTGTTATAACCATCATGTACCTTCAAAATTTTGAATAACCTTGCCTTTTTGCTTTCAATATTTATATCTTTCGAGTTCGCAATCATATGAGAAGGCGTTCTTTTAGTGTAACCGGGCTACATGTCCCACATTTTGTAATCATCTTCCAATTAATGAAAAATTTCGATCTCTTTGCTCGGTTACTGTGTTTCTTTTTCACTGTTTTGTATCATTCCGACCTCATGCCTAGCCAAACTAATTAGCTTGGCCTTACCTGATCCTGCCAACCTTCTTTGGCCAAGATACGCATCTTGGCTGAAGAATCTAAAAAACTTCTTGGTCAAACCGGCCAACCTACTTTGGCTGAGGTAACTGTCATCCCAGCCAAAGAGTGCAAAATTTTTGTTGGTCATACCTGCCAACTTCCTGCAGCCTAGATCTTTATCTTAGCTTAGGAGAGCTAAATGTTGGTTATTCCTGCCAACCTTCTTCAGCCTAGATCCTTATCTTTGCTGAAGAGAGCTAAATGTTGGTCATACCTACCAACTTCCTGCAACCTAGATCCTTATCCCGGCTTAGAAATGAAAAAAGTGTTGGTCAAACCTGCCAACTTTTTTTGTTGCCCCCTAGTCGGGCAAAGACTTATTTAGAAAGAGTTGGTCAAACCTGCTAACCCACTTTGGCCGAGGTAACTGTCATCCCGGCCAAAGAGTGCAAAAGTTTTGTTGGTCAAACCTGTCAACCTTCTTGAGCCTAGATCCTTATCTCGGCTAAAGAATGAAAAAGTGTTGGTTATTCCTGCCAACTTTCTTCAGCCTAGATCCTGATCTCAGCTGAAGAGAGCTAAATGTTGGTTATTCCTGCCAACCTTCTTCAGTCTAGATCCTGATCTCGGCTGAAAGGAGCTCAATGTTGGTTATTTTGGCTAGCGTTCTTCAGTCTAGATCTTGATCTCGGCTGAAGGGAGCTCAATGTTGGTTATTCCGGCCAACGTTCTTCAGCTTAGATCCTTATCTCGGCTGAAGAGAGCTAAATGTTGGTTATTCTTGCCAACATTCTTCAGCCTAGATCCTTATCTCGGCTGAAGAGAGCTAAATGCTGGTTATTCCGGCCAACGTTCTTCAGCCTAGATCCTTATTTCAGCTGAAGAGAGCTAAATGTTTGGTTATTCCTGCCAAACTTCTTAATTGCCCCCCAGTCGGGCAAAGACTTTTGCGCGGTCGGTCCTACTTGTCAACCGTGTTAACTCTCACCAAAGGCTTTTTGTCTGGTATCGCTGTTGTGCCGGACTCTTCCTTGGTGCGCACCCTATCTTCCTCTACCCGGATGCGTTGGTGCACTCTCTTCATCAGGGCTTCCATAGTAAGGAGTGGCGTCATTGTCATTGAATCCCTCAACTTATTGCCGGTCGGCAAACCTCGTTTGAACTGTGCGATAGCTAGGTTTGTGGGGCAATCTCCAATCTGATTAAAAGTCTCCTAATGTCGGTTATTGTAAGACCTCAATGTTTCCTTTTCGCCCGTGTCTATGGAGAGAAGCTGGTCAATCTCTACAGGTGTCTTGGTATTTGTTTTGAATCTAGTCACAAATGCCTCTGCTAGTTGCGCCCATGAAGCTATGCTACCTTCTGGCAACCTTTCAAACCATGTTAGACCCATGTCACCAAGGCTGGAAGGAAATATGATACACATTAGAGGCTCGTTTCACCGATACACTGCCATAACCTGGCGAAAGTGGCTCAAGTGCATGTAGGGGTCTGACTTTCCCTTATAAATAGTGAATTTAGGGTGGTGGAAGCCGAAGGGTAATGGTGCGCTCTCTATTGCCGGAATGAACGGTGAGCTTTACAACCTTGCTAACGCTTTATATGTTGATTCATAGGCGAGGCGTGGCTCTAGCATTCTAACCTCGACACTCCCATGTGTTCTTGGAGCCAACCGTTGTAATGCAGAGACTTTGCGAGAGTCATGAGCCTGAGTGTCTTCTCTCCTTCGAGCCCTTTCTTCAAGCACTGTCCGCAGGTCCGCCTACCTAGGCAACTCCATGTGCCTAGATGTCGTTTGGTGTGAATGTGTGGGCTGATAGCTACTTCCTTTTGTGTAAGACCTTTATGTCCTCATTCTCTCGGACTTGGAGTAACAAGTCTTGGAAGTCCTCGATTGTGTATCGCCTGACCTGAGCTTCTTCTTTGAGCTTGTGATGGTGTGACTTGTCTGTCACGATCTTCTGAGTGGCGAAGGTGTGCCCTGCTCTTGCCCACCTCTTCTTCCGCTGCCCCTTTGCCTTTTATTTGGCGCTTCATAGTCTCCATGTCAGCCGCCATTCTTCTTATTACTTCGTCTTGCTCCCTTACATAATCTTCCAGAACCTGAGGATCCATCCTCTGCCTCTGTCTATCAGGGCTTTGAGAGTGGTGTAGACTTGAGCCCCGTCTCTCTCGCGCCTCTTTTCGTGGATTCCATCACTAGGGATCTAATTCTGTCATGGATGGTACATTAGGAAAGCCTTTGCGCCTTGCATTCCCTCCCGGGGTCTGCCCATCAATAGTAGAATGTGGTAAGTCTTCGTTATGCGCCATTGATTTCATCTAAAGAGGAAAACTCGATCAAAAGGTTTTGTTCTTTGTGTTTTCCCACAGACGGCGCCAATTGTACGAGCACGAAATGATCTTCTCATATAATCTTATTGATCAAGTTTGCACTCCTCCAAACAACGTTGCTTTGCCACCTGAAAACACAAACGTGAGCTAACCGGCTGGTGTGTGCTGGAAACCCCTCCGATGCCTAAGTCAGCAACTAGACAATAGACAATAAGCTCTGTGTATTCTAGAGTAAGAATTGGGATACTTGTACATAGGTCTGGTCATGAGTTTTTATAGACTTTACTTGGCACAATCCTAGTAGGATTCTAACTCTCCTTATAAGAGTCATTCTACGAATCACACACCTTACTCACTACCAACCAAGTGAGATGGTTTGCACAATCCTAGTAGGACTTTACTCTCCTTAGCAGAGTCTTCCTAGGAGTCACACTCCTACTCACTACCAACCAAGTGAGATGGTTTTGCATAATCCTAGTAGGACTCTACTCTCCTTAGCAAAGTCCTCCTAGGAGTCTCAAGCCCAAGGATAATGATTATCTCTAAAACACCCTCATCACTGCCAGCCAAGTGAGATGGCTGAACCCTTACCTCGGCTGACATTGTGGTCAACCGTGCTCACATAGCTCGGTGATACTTTAAACACCACTGTCAGTCTTGACTTTGAGATGACACCCTGTAGAGCTATCCTTTAGCTCGGTTCTCCCTCCACTGATACCTCGATTCAGGATAGCTAGGTCAGGTCACTGGTAGCCGATTTCTGACCGATCCAATGTTTAGATGATCAAGGACCGTGCTACATAAATAATTACCTTGGCCCATAGTTCGGCCCAAACCCGAAATATAAGATGTTTTCTTGGCCTAAGACCGAGCTACACCAGCCCTTATCTCAGCCCATTACGCGGCCCAACTCCCAAAGAAGACTCTTCCTAACTCGGCCAAATTTGTTTATAAATTACCCTCTCATTTGGTAATGATTTTTTTCCTTTTAGTTATGAATACGAAATTATGTCATTTTTTTATTTAGTTATAAAGTGTATATGATACATACCCTTTGAGGGGTGTACCATAGTCTTTCACTTTCAATATTAATAAGAATTTTGCATATTCAACATACATTAAAAAAAAAATAAAATTGCATTAAGTATTTTGTCTAATCATTTTAATTAATGAATATTCTAATTTATTTATTCTTGAAAGTGATTTTCCTAACTTTCAAATCTCTCCAAATACCTATATTATTACCTATTCTGTTGGAGTTTCATTTTGCAATAAAATTAAATAAAATGCTTAGAACATTCTTAGCCTCCATTTGAGAAGTGGGTTGGCTTTTTGGCTTTTTGACTTTTTTGGCTATTTTAGCCTGTGTTAAAAAGTTTGGTTTGGGAAGGGTTTTTTGGCTTTTTTGACTTTTTTTGTGAGAGAAGAGTGTAATGATTATGGGTTGGATGTGATGTTTTGTTTTTTGTGGCTAAAATAGTCTATTTTGTCTTTTATGGCTAAAATAGCCAAAAAAACCCAAACTCTTCTTGCCAAACGAACCCTTAATGTCTCTATTACTGGAAAAAATTCATTTAAGCGGATGTTTGAAAAAATATTTTTAAATTAATGATAAATTTTACAAATATTAAAAAGTAAAATTACAATTTTTTTCATTATTTTGTAATTAATTTTTTATCAATCCACTGACATGTGAATTCCCTAAATTTTAGGGGTAGAAATTAGGTGCCCAATGTGAGGATATGAATTCAATACTGAGGAATTGGGCAGTAATAGGAGAAGCTCACTTCTAGTTTTGATTGTTATGATAAATTACTTGATATTATACCCTTTTCCCTTTCATCGCTAAATTGATACATTTCTACACCTACTTCGAGCCAAGATACATTTCAGACACGATAAACTTATTACATAACAGACCATTCAGTCTCAGAGGTTTTTTGAGAAGTGGGTTATAATTCACTTTTCAGATTATAACCTATTTTTTTCTCTCACAAAAAATTAATTATAATCAATTTTTAACTAAAAAACTGATTATAACCATCTCCATAATGTCTAAAAAACTGATTATAACCATGTCCGTAATGTCTTTCTTATGATCACTTTTATGGTGTGTTTGGTTGGAGGATTTGGGGAGGGATTTGGAAAGGGAAAGGGAAAAGGTGTGTGAAACTATGTGAAATTTAGGCATGTTTTATTCATATTTCACCTAACTTTTCCATTTCCCTTTCTAAATCCCACCTCAAATCCCTCAACCAAACACAACATTAGTTTATTTACTTGTTCTTATGATTCTAGACAAACACTAGGTGGGAAAAAAAGGACAGAGACCCAGAATCCTCGAGTCTGTGTCCAGCCTTGGCATTTCTAGCATTAATAGTGTGAATCTTTTTAAGAATAAAGACTAAAGAGTTTTAATTTTGAAGTTTTAAGAGAGTTTTAGATGTGGCAAAGAGTGAGACCTATATGTGATATAATATGTGTGTCTATATTTTTATTCTTCTTTTCTTGTCACATTATTAAAACTCTCTTTAAAATTTCAAAATTAGAATTTTTATCATTGTTGTCTTTTTAATTAGTGATGTTTGTTTGGTGTCAGATTTACAGACTCCACAAAATACCTCAACAGAAACAGAAGTTGCCGCCATTACTTCAGAAAGTCCAAGGACCTAAGAGAGAATCTGATCATCAAATAAACACGGCATGGTGAAAATTTTAATTATACAATCTTGACAAATTATGTTGGATTTAATTGGGAGATTTGAAAAGAGATTTAGAAAGGAAAAATAAAAAAGTAGGTGAAATGTTTTCACACACATTTTACTTCAGAAAGTCCAAGGACCTAATTTCACACACATTTTTCTTTTTCATTTTCAAATCTTTTCCCAAATTCTTCGATTAATGTTTTCATCTCTCTCAATATTTCCTAATTACTAAACTATTCATAAATTTTTTTTTGGTCCAATGTCACTGCTATTGGTGAGTTCAGAGCTATGTATCCACAGTTTTGGCTGGCAAAGATGGACTAATCAATCACCTTATGCACATTTTTCTTTTGTTTTGTTTTGTTTTGTTTTTGTTTTATTAACACCAGTCCAAGAAAAAAAAAAAAATTCGATTTATTTCATTTTTAATTAGGAGTACTCATGTTTCAATTATAGAGGTTTAACAATTTTTATGTATGGACAGAAGGGATTGCAGTCCCTGTAATAAAGAGTTTATTGATAAATCATGTAGGTTTCATATTTATTTTCCCTATCTTTTTAGTGGGAAAAAATAAATGATCTGTATTATATCCAATTTGGACTATGATTAAGTTGATTATTTTTTTGGATGTGAAATTAATTGATGTTTTGGTATGGTATTTATTGATGATTACTTGGCACAGATGCTTGTAGCTATGATATCAATGAGTTGGATGTTGGAATTAGTTAATCAACTCTTCTTTTTCTTTAAAAATTTTTAACAATCAATTCATTTTAATAAACTCTGTTTGGAAAATTTTTTATTTAAAGAAATAAAAATTCAATCTACTCATTTTGCTCAACTCTGTTTGGGATGGTGGTTTTCTAGAGTAAAAATAAAAATAAAAAATCAATCAAAATTTTGATTGTTGACTTTTTAATTTTTCTACATTGCTCAGAAAAAGTCACATCATGTTTTATTATTTTACTATAAATTTAATAAATTATATCAAAAGTAAAATTAATATATTATTCTTTCCAATATTTTTTGATGCAATTGCTTGAAAAAAAAAGTTATGGCTAGTACTGCAATCTATAAAGCAATGACTACAGGGACTAAGGCCTATTTTGCAAGGTAGAAAAGGAAATTTAATTTTTAATTTTTTTTAAAAAAATATATAAAAAAATAACGAGATGGTGTGATGAAAATAAGGCAATAAACTAATAAGTTTAACCATTTATTTTTTCTATTTGTTAAAAAAAGACCTGAGTAATTAATTTAAATAAGAGGCCCCACTTGCGGGTCCTTATTAAGCGAAAACTCTCTATTGCAAAAACTTGCTATTGATGCAATTTATGGAGATTGTTTATAGTTTATTACTATTATTATTTATTTATTTTGGAAAGTGTATCAAAGTATTTTGTGTAATTTTTCTTATCAGTTATAAACCAAAAATAATTTAAATATGTTGATAAAACAAGATATTTTTAAGGGAAAATGAAGACGGTAGTCTTTGTACTTTCATTCTTGTGTTATTTTGGTTTATGTAATTTTAATTGATTCGATTTTGACCATTAATTTATGACTTTGTTTTAATTTGGTCCAATTAATTATAATTTTTAATATTTTTTTATGAAAAATATACATATAAGTGGCATGTGTTACATTTTTAAGAATAAAATTATAAACTTATCCAACTCAGTGAGTCATTCCTTAACCAATTGAGCGATAATTTTCCATTTGAAACACTAACGCATTATCAATTAGATTAAATTGATACAAAATTTAGGGTAAATTACACTAATAGTCCCTATAGTTTGGGACTCGTGTCACTTTGGTCCTTAACTTTTCAATTGTGGCACATTTGATCTTGAATTTTGAATTTTGTTCCAAATAACATCACAAGAATTTGCACATTTGGCGACCACTTTTGGCGACCAAACAAAATTTAGTCGCCAAAAAGTTCACTTTAGGCGATTAAAATATATATTAGTTGGTGTTGGTACAGTTTTTAGCTACTAAAAATTTTTGGTCGGGAAATATTATTTATTGGCGACTAAATTACCTTTTTGTCGGCAAAAGTGACACTTTTAGCGACTAAAAAATTTATTAGTCGCCGTTAGTCTCAATTTTAGGCTACTAATTTTTTTTTAGTCGCTGTATATGAATTTTTGCCTACAAAATAAATGTTAGTAGCCAAAAACAGGCATATTTTTTGGTTAATATTTAGCGACTAAAAGATTTAGTGGGCAAATACAAATTTTTTCTGACCAAATGGAGATTTAGTCGCCAAATATACATTTGGTGACCAATAAAATAGTCGTTGTATATTTTCCTATAGCTACCAAATAGGATAGTCGCCCATAATAACACTGTTGCCGACAAAATTTTTTTTTAGTCGCTAAATCTTTAAATTTTTTAGGGTGTGCGAGCGAACTCTTTTAGTGCTACCCGCCCCTTTCTCTGTTACACACAACAACGTTCAAACCATAGAATTAGACACCAAACCGAAGAGACAAACACCTCACCGTAGCCCATCGTACGGAAGACATTGCTACGGCCATCGCCACCACCACAAAGCACCACCGTGTAGACGCGCCCTTGGGCTTCATGCTACAGTTCGGAATCAAATGTCACGGTTCTTAATCTGATCTCACAATGTGCGATGTGAGATTGATAAATCACCAAAGAGTCCAAATCCGGCAAATCATTTTGGAAAATTGATTTTTGTAAAGAAGTGCCAAACATGGACTACTTGGCCAGATATAGAGTCGCCATCTAAATATTTTATTTTGGGAGAATTTAGGAAATCCTGACTCGTGTCTAAGGCCACGTGTCCGTCATCACCAAAGTTGCTTCGGCTCGGGAACTTGGGTACGATTGGGGAAGGTCATCTATGAGCACCCCCGCTCGCCCGATCAAAGATTGACCTGTACAAAGCATGATATCTTGTTTTTGAAAAAACATGCGTTCTTATTCCGGTTATTAGCTAGAATTTACTATGTGATGCGCACAACACACAAGTATAGACTAGATCGCCTAATTTGGAACAAAGCATTGCATATCCATTTGTTTGAAAAATGATTTGAAGTTTGTTACTCGCAAGTAGGCTAAAACACGGATTTCAAAGAATTATTCCAATTCAAGTAATCCAACCTCCACCCACAGGCACTCAGGCAGTTATATCACATAAGCAATTAGCCTCATGGCAAGCATGCTGTTATGTTAACACTCACATACACGCAAGATGCTAAAGCATAAACACTCACAGTGTACTTCGAGCCAAAACAAAGAACTAGTTAGTAATCAATGCATGATTCTAGTTCATGTTAAGATGGCTAATGCAACACATACAAAATGCAACTAGAATAGGCTCGACTAATCTAAAATGGCATATGAGATTCGACAATTCGATACATGTCTTCAACTTGGAATTGAAATACAATACAGTTAGTATGATGCACTGAGCTCGATGCATGCAATACAAATGAATGATGCAAACATGCATAGCATAAGGATGCTAATTGAAATATGCCCTAGAACTAACCACTGAAAGCAGGTAAGTAAAAGGGGAAAAGAAGTGGGGTTAGAAGACATGCACCACACACACGCACACTTATTACATAATTGCGCCATCTCGACGGAGGGACCGAAAGAATAATACAAATCATCTAATTAATTAACTAATAAGCTAATTAATTATTACCCACCCTTAACTAATTAAAAAAATTAATTAAGCTATGAAAACTAGTAAAACAACCTCGAGGAGAGGGACGAATGCATGCTCGGTTGGCTTCGCTCGGAAATCCGTTGCCATGCTTCATGTTGCCTCTGTTTGCACTGCTTTGTTCCTCTGAAAATTGTGCCAACTTCTGTGACACTTCTGAACCACCTTGTGGACATTCTGTGAGGCCATCGGCCAAAATATAGAGCCATCGGCCAAGGGAAATTGGTCATCGACCAAAACTAAGGCTATCGGCCAAATGTTTGCTGTCGATCGGCACTGAATGTGGTCGATCGACCATCTCTTCCTGTGAAAAGCTCTTGTTGCTGTAGCAGATGACAAATAGGGCATGACAATACATTTACAAGACAATGTCTGCACAACTACACCTCTTATCATGTTTAAGACTAAAAGGTGTGTAGTTTTCGACCCTCGGACCACCAATCACGCATTTCAACGCATGATGGCCAAAGGAGCCAAGTGTGCAATTCAATATCAAATGAAATGCACAAAACACATAAGGGGCCCCAACCTCTATCATGCTTGATCAAGAGGCAAGGGATGCACACACAATGCAATGTAAACATGCAAGCATGATGCAAGCAACTCAAGCATGATACAAATCTAATGCAACATGAGCATGCAAGCATACAATATGCAATAGGCACACAACCTAAATATGCAAACATGCATAGCATGCAACAACATGCAAAATGAAACAAGCATACAACAACATGGTAAGATGGACTTAAACTAAAATGGGCTATTCTCAAACATGTCCAAATCAGTGGCCAAAGTCATGAATTGGAAGCATGAAAATGCAAAGCAAATATGCACATGTACAGTTTTTGTCGGCGTTGGCACATGTAAAGCAAATTACACTAATAGTCCCTATAGTTTGGGACTCGTGTCACTTTGGTCCTTAACTTTTCAATTGTGACACATTTGATCTTGAATTTTGAATTTTGTTCCAAATAACACTACAAGAATTTGCACATTTGGCGACCACTTTTGGCGACCAAACAAAATTTAGTCGCCAAAAAGTTGACTTTGGGCGATTAAAATATATATTAGTCGGCGTTGGTACAATTTTTAGCTACTAAAATTTTTTGGTCGGGAAATATTATTTATTGGCGACTAAATTACCTTTTTGTCGGCAAAAGTGACACTTTTAGCAACTAAAAAATTTATTAGTCGCCGTTAGTCTCAATTTTAGGCTACTAATTTTTTTTTTAGTCGCTGTATATGAATTCTTGCCTACAAAATAAATGTTAGTAGCCAAAACCAGGCATATTTTTTGGTTAATATTTAGCGACTAAAAGATTTAGTGGGCAAATACAAATTTTTTCCGACCAAATGGAGATTTAGTCGCCAAATATACATTTGGCGACCAATAAAATAGTCGTTGTATATTTTCCTATAGCTACCAAATAGGATAGTCGCCCATAATAACACTTTTGCCGACAAAATTTTTTTTTAGTCGCTAAATCTTTAAATTTTTTAGGGTGTGCGAGCGAACTCTTTTAGTGCTACCTGCCCCTTTCTCTGTTACACACAACAACGTTCAAACCATAGAATTAGGCACCAAACCGAAGAGACAAACACCTCACCGTAGCCCATCGTACGGAAGACATTGCTACGGCCATCGCCAACACCATAAAGCACCACTGTGTAGACGCGCCCTTAGGCTTCATGCTATAGTTCGGACTCAAATGTCACGGTTCTTAATCTGATCTCACAATGTGCGATGTGAGATTGATAAATCACCAAAGAGTCCAAATCCGGCAAATCATTTTGGAAAACTGATTTTTGTAAAGAAGTGCCAAACATGGATTGCTTTGCCAGATACAGAGTCGCCATCTAAATATTTTGTTTTGGGAGAATTTAGGAA